CCGGCCGCGCAGGTAGCGGGCGGCGGGGCGGGAGCGGCCGGGCCGCCCGCAGGGGCCGGCTTCAGAGAGACGTAGCCCGGGCAAAGCGCCTCGGCCGCGGCTCTTGGGAGCCCGGGACACGACAGGAGTGACTGGAGTCAAAAGCGGAATTAGTTTACCTCAGTGTTAACTCGTGTGCCGTGGGGGCTGCCCTGGGCAGGAACGCCATCTAGGCCAGCGCTGGTGGATAGAGAAGCAGACCATCCTCTAGGCACTCAGGGCCTTTTTCCAGCCTATGGAGGGGCATTGAGGTGCTAGAGCGGGTCCAGAGAAGGGCAACGAAGCTGGTGAGGGGTCTGGAGAACAAGTCTCATGAGGAACTGAGGGAGCTGGGGGTGTTGAGCCTGGAGAAAAGGAGCTGAGGGGAGACCTCGCTCTCTACAACTGCCTACAAGGAGGGTGGTCGGTCTCTTCCCCCAGGTAACAGGAGATAGGACAAGAGGAAATGGCCTCAAGTTGCTCCAGGGGAGGTTCAGGATGGGTATTAGGAAAAACTTTTCCACTGAAAGGGTTGTCAAACATTGGAACAGGCTGCCCAGGGAAGTGGTGGAGGCCCCATCCCTGGAGGTATTTAGAAGACTCATCAATGCGGTGCTGAGGGATATGGTTTAGCAGTGGTTTCGGCAACGTGAGGTTAATGGTTGGATGCATTGATCTTAAAGGTCCCTTCCAATCAAAACAATTCTATGATTCTAAACCGTGCAGCTCCTAATAATGACAGCCCCAGGCCTTTTCTTGGAAGAATGCACAAGTACTCTCCACACTGGGAAAATGTTTGATTTTATCCTTAGCAAGAGCCATGTGTGGCAATGCCATCCCCATGTGCTGCCCCAGCTGTGCCAGCCCCTCTGCCCACACACCTGCCTGCCCACAGGAAAGCGTGGGGCTTGGCCAGCTGAGGCTGGTTTACCCTCTGCTGAAGAAGTGCTGGGACACAGCTGAAAAGGATCAGCTTTTTGGTAAAAAAATAGGACACAAGCCATGACCCTGCTGGGAGTTCTGACTAATGACATCACCCTGAAAAACCTGTGTTAATCTTGGCCTTCACTCTGAGGTTTTCTGCCATTCAAATTAGTGGTGAAACATTCAGGTCATTTACATCTGAGTGACCTTCAGGAAGTGGGGTAAGCAGCTGGGGGGGTGAAGGCTTTGTTAGGCTGAAGGCGTTTCCTCCCTCCTGGCCGAGGGGACACTTTGCTTTCATTACCTGCAAGATGCTAACTTGATTTCTCCACAGGTTTTACCTGAGAAAGAGTAATACAAAAAGCTTTGATGTGGAGATTGGGCCTGCAACACACACCAGCAATACCCTATGGGAGGTGCCTAGCCGGTGGAGCTCCAGGGTTCTGTAGGGCCAGGGACCAGCTTGGGGGGGTTCATAGGAGAGTTTTGGGGGTGCAGAGCTGGCCCTGGGCTTGTGCATCTGTGACACAGGCAGTTCCTTGATGACCGAGGAGAGCTCTGTCCTCAGGACAGAAAAAGCAGACACATGGAGAAGACTCTTCAAGGTGTGGTGGGCTGGGGCCAGGGGGGTGGTTTGTTTCCCTGAGAGTATGTTTAACTAAAAACTCCACCGGGTTTCTACTTGGCAGATGCCAAATCATGCACTGATACTTAGGAATTTTGAAAGATGAGGGATGATTGTGTTTGCTACAGGAAAGGAGTTTAATTAGAAAAGAGGAGAGAACTGCAACAAAGAGAAGGGCTATCATTAGACTTCATGGCAAACTGTTGTGAAGACTGTCTAACTGAATACCCCCTAAACATACGTGTGAGTGTGGCATTGGAGAAGAAAGGGCCGGGGGGTAGCCTCATACAGGCTACAATTCACTCTGCTGCATCAACACGTGCCTAACTTTGACAGTGCAAATTTTCCAACTCAAATTCAACAAATAACTTGCTTATTTAAAGATGAGCACCCACTTAAGCTCCTGGATAAACTCAAAGGGAGAAGGCCCAGAAAAAAAATTGTTAGATTTTTGATTCTTCTCTCCAGACTTGCAGGAGTTGGTATATCACTACAATTAGAATGGATTAAAAGTGCTCTATTATCTTTTTTAAGACACTAAAAATATTATTTATACTAAGCCTGTTTAGTAGGTAGTAAACAATCAAAAAAAAAAAAAATAGAAGAAAACATAAGGAACAGCCAACCACGCGTACATGCGCATAAACTTAAGATGCATTAACTCTTCTGCCAGAAGAATCCAGGCAAACCAAAAATCTTACCAAGAATAACATTAAACGAAGTACAATGAAATTAAAATTGACAAATTTGTCTGTCTCACAAATGAGACAAAACTTCAAATTGCCACACCAACTTCAAACAGCCAAAATACACATGGAAAAGCCACAGCCATAACCTAAAATGCTAGTTCAGTTGTCACTTAGGATTTCACAGCCTTATGCATTAATTATACAGAAAATTCACACTGAGGATTATTTCTAAAATTATCTCTCAACTTTCCACATTAAATTGACAAGGAATCGGATGGTTGCAGCATAATACTTAAGTCATAAATCCCAATTATTAATAACTGAGGTAATCAGCTTTTACACGATTATTCTCTTACACATACTTATTAACTATGATGCAATTACAAGAATAATTTCTGTTTCTGAACAGCCATCTCAGTGTTCAATTTCATATACAGTAAAAAAGAAATAAAATCCTTACAATAAAATTGCCACCATAAGAGAAGTAAAATCAACTATATAATTTAAGAGAATAAAGAAATTTAATTGTAGTTATTAGCACCTCATACAAAGCAAGGTCTCAGTATAAAATCACTGAGGTACTTTTCAAGAAGTGAAAAAAACTGAAATGAACTAAGTACGGGCAGGAAGAGCATGTCCTTCTGTAGGGCCCACACTTTAAGACACTTTGTATGGTCAATTTCAAAACCATTTCAGATCTATCATGAAGCTCAGGACTGTCTCTCTGGTGTGTGCTGGGCTATAGTTCCTCTACCTCACAAATACATAGAGATTACCAGGAAACCTGTAATTCACTGTTTTTAAATAAACTGACTTACTCTGCTGTATCTGTGCTTCTTAATCCATATTTTTATCAGCCCTCTCTATCCCCCAGTCAGTTTAGGGTGAAGCGAGATCCTGTGCCAGTGGAAACTGACTGCAGGAGAAATAATTCTTGCGCACGTGCTGTGAGTTCTATTACTTTGGAAACTGTCCTTTCCCAAAACCAGGTCCCAAAACAGCTGTGCCCCTAACACTGCAGACCTGTGCAGGGTCCACAGCTCTTTCACTGCAACCAGCCTCCTGCAGTTGGCATTTTCAGCAACATCTGTCCCCTTCCGTGCCTCCAAGCAGAGGTGAAGGGGATGAAATGGCTCCCAGGGAAGTGCCTGGCTGCTGTTTAATCTGCAAGGAAATCGACTGTATGTCCCATCTGTATTAACTGGCAGCTATGAAATATTAATATAAATAACATTCTTTCTAAACTCTTCTCTCTTCATGACGGCAGGCAGTCTGTTTACAGTCAGCTGAAAAAGAGCCAACTGTTCTCAGAAGATAAGTGCAAGTCTCGATCTCATAATTAGCATGCATGAAGGAATAAGACTCTTACTGTCTCACAAAAACCCTACCACAACAACAGGAGTGACAGAGGTCACCACAAACTGAAGAAAAGACGAGATGTAAGTGTGATGGAGCCAGGCCGCTGGTGAAATACTTCTGTTACTGTTTTCTCCACTCTGGCAGGGACACGAACTGCAAGGCAGTGGAGCTTCTTGCCAATGAGCAGCAGAATTTTACTGAAGAGGACACTTGTTACTCCAGCAACAGAGGAGAAAGGGTAGAGCCTTCCTAGCTTCTCCCCCTCCTTTCTTTTCTATACAGCTGTAGACTGTGAGAGATTTTACTCTGAATAATGCTCAGCTAAATTTTAACTATAGATCAAAGACAGCAGAAGATAGGTTCTTTGATTATTTTTGTTTTCCTCTTAATTGTTTTTGCTATTGTAAAAATAACCAGCACTAGTAGAAAGCTTTGCAGCGTTAACTAAAAGCTTTTAGGGGAAAACCAAATCACATTGTACTGCAGTAATAGAGAACCTGTTAATGCTTATTGAGTAACAAAGTTGAAATAAGATGTATTTCTACTGTTGAACTGGGATGTAGCTTGGAACAGAATAGCAGAAAAAGAGTAAGAAAGAATGAGTACCCTGAGAAACACAACTAATGAGCAAGGTACTTCTACCTCTTTGATTCTTAGAATGGAAGTTATGAATTTCTTGTCTACATGATCATAAAAATAACCCTATGTTTAGTAACACTTAAGCAGATATTACTTGTTGCCGAGGTACTTTAACAGCAGTCTTTCCTGATAATGTCTCTTCATTTACCGCATCAGAAGCGGGTCCGCAGATCAGTTTTGGATTCCATTTACATGTTTGAAATTCTGACAGTGAACTCCATCTCAATAATTCTAAGAACATCCTTTCTATAGAAGAACAGTTAAGGAAAAGTCTCTGAAAAATGTAGATATAAACTCTATTAACTGATTACTATAGTTCATAAGATGTTGCTGCTTAAACAGCAGGAAGATAAGGTACT